CTGTAGCGTTGCAGACCATGTACTCAGTCTTCGCCACATTTAGTCTCTTCTGTTCTACCATGGTCGTGTAATGTGAAGAAAAAAGACCCGAGAGTTGTGTAACCTGCATGCAATCATATTATTTACGTGCAAGTGTGATGAAAAAATCAATACTAACCGATGCACAGCAACCAAGTAATGTATCTTCCCGATGGGCGGGTGCTCGTTCAGCTGATTCATGTTGGAAGGTGATGAGCTAAACTTGACCTTGCCTAGGCGAGGACTCGCCGGCTTTAAGTTGAGAGACTTCACGCTCAGGGTCGGTGAACTCTTGCCGTTGGTTTCCGCTCTGAAAATAGTCGAACCAAAACAAATTAATTCATCAAACAATAAACTTCAAACCAGATAAACGGGTGAATCCCGCTGATTTCTTTGACCTTAAGGACTCACGTCTTACCACAAACCATTTAAATAAAAAGGGCAGTCAGAGGTTTGTATTGTGGTTGGTGGCTCATTGGATATTTTGTTTGTGAATACTACTTATTATATTTATTAATGAATTTGTCATTTACCATATTATTATGCTTTAATTTGCGTTTATTAGTTATTAAGAATCCATATTGACCGTTCTTGTATTATTGTACACCTGGCCTTGTTAGTTTAATTCTATCAAGCTTCATTAATTATCTTGATTACTATATATACACTATTGTGTACTATAATTTACTATATTACATAATTATTATTCTCCTTATTCCGTAAACTGACGATCACTTTTCAAAGTATTATAAAATGACACGTAATAAACCAAACTTTGCCATTATCGTAAAAACTTTTAGCACAAGAATCTTTAACGTAATTATTATAAGCATCAAGCATTTTAAAACAAATAACGTTTTGATAATATTTTATTTGTATATCCACAAAATTTAAGCAATACAATGTGTTGATTTGTATTCTCGCCATATGTACACAAGTCATTCTATATCCGAAACTGAACCCAAATCACTAAAAAATTAATGGAAAAAAAATTCGTCTTATTTTTTATTTAATTGCGGTAAACATCCTTGGTCCAAAGGTCATTGACTTGCACGGCACTTGCTACAGGTACTGGCAACCATTTGAACAATGGCCTATGCGCAGAAAAGATTGATTTTTAGATATATTTGGTGGTGGGGTGCGGGTGGCGACGGCGGGGGAGTATCGTATCGAGCGCGCGATTGGTAGATCAGTCGACCTTGCCTCCCGTATTACGTCTACGTTCCGCTGACATCCCACATACGTTCTAATATAGTTTCTCACGAAATGCCACGTGGTTTGGTATGCAAACAAGAGTTAGTGCAAAAAAAAAACCGCTACCAGGTACACCAGACCCTGCATTACCATCAAGTGCAGTTCGAGACTACACTTATGGCATGACAAGCAAGAAAAAACTTTTTTCAGTCAACTTTTCTAATTAATGTAAATAATTAGTAAATTATTATCAATTCCTTAAATATGACGAGAATGCAGATCAACAAAATGTATAAAAAATATGCATTTTTTAGACCTTACTTACAGACCTTATTTACACGATCCTTAAAATATTGTTTATAATGACAACACGTTGGTTTTCTGATCTCTAATTCCATCACCGAGTATAATAATATAAATATAGTTTCTTCTACGCGAAACCGTAAGAGTTTGTCACCTTTTGAGTTCCGACAAGTCCTTGGGCAGCGTGTTGCTCCGATAGTCGCCAGCGAAGGCGCCGTGTGGTTGGAAGCTGGGTGGGCTCTGCGACATAAGAATTTCGGATCGCGACCGCTGCAATCACCAACCGCATTCGTTATTAACTCGCTACTTGTACTCGCTTTTATCTTTGCCTGGTTCATACATTTACGGGGGATATTCTACGAGGTGCTGATAGCTATTGCGGCTAAAGTTAGGGATGTCGTGTAGGCAGAGGCTACGAGCCCTAACTTGGTCCATTTCTGACATGCCTCTCTTTTCAGGGTGATTTATCAAGGAAACTAACAGACAGGGAATAATAGTTTTCTAAACAAACTGCTTGTACATTAAGAATGATGGTCTATTGTAACATTTTCAAAGGTATTTTATCCATTACTGCTTATTACAAGGAAGTCATAAAAAAACTTAAAAAATAAATGAAAGTCATCATGGTACATCTAAAACTTATCTACATAATCTAGTAACAATAAAAACCAAGAAAAAGTAAAAATGGAAACAAATAGAAAAAAGATGTATGAACCAGATATAGTGACGTACACAAAAACATAGACGTGACCGTAGCTTGAGTGTAACCTACATTTAGCTTACAAGTTGTAGCTATAGAACAAGGATTTTATATGTGTCTAAGTTTGGAAGTAATGGCCTGGCTACACGGTCGAGTTTTAACGCGTTAAACTAGCGCAAGTCATTTCAAAACAAGTACAAGAAATGTATTTTGTGTTAGTGCTTAAATATGTAATTTTAACAGGAAATTGTAAATCAATTGTCTTGTATTTTGACAATATTTTGTATTCATTCATTTTTACGTACATGCGTAGGCTTCAAAACCGGAACGCAGTAATGCTTACACATTAATACTTTCCTGAAAGAACGCTTTCACAAGGAGCTCTTCCGCTACCACTGTATTTTAGTCACTTCATAACATAGAATATTCTAAATATATATATAAAACTCTGAATCGCATTATTTAAAATGCTGTTCCATCAAAACTATTAATTAAAAGGGGGTAATATACAAACGTGTGCATGACTTGAACAAGTTTGCTGGCGATACAGTTCGGTCGTGTAGTCGGTCTCTAATAGTGTAGCATAGTGTCTTTTAGGTAACTGCAGATCTCTAAAACTGGACGCATCAAATGCAGTACTTTTATAAATTTCGTATTGAGTTAAGATGTATAGAATTTCAATCGTATTAAGAAAACTCCGACCAGAGACAATGAAGCAGGAAACAGAACAAATGTTTATACAGTGTTTTTTTTTATAATATCAAGTGACGGGACGATCAAGTCCTGTGCCTGATGGTTAGCTACACGCCTGTCCATAACAGTCGCAGTGCCACTTAGAGCTTTAAATCGCAAAGATCTAAGGGGCCGGCCACTGCACCCGCCACCCTGAGCCATAAGTTGACAAGTCCCATGTGCTTGTAATTTCACCAGCACCCTTACCATTCAAAACCGGAGCACAGTAACGGGGACATTTCTGCTTGGCGGCAGAAAAACAAAGTATTTGTATTTTTTTAAATAGACAATGACAATGTGACGTCAATTGTAACACGTGTAATTAGGATAGGCAAACTGTTAGGCAAACACAGTGCAAACTGTGTGTGCAGGTTTATTTAACCTTGGCATTTTATTATGTAATTTCTTGGTAGGTGTAAGAGAATCGTATTGCGTCCGAGATGAGCAAGTGCCTCGGTTTTAACCTGACGCTTTCTTCATGCCAGGTTTATATCGACTAAATACCCATGAATGCCTAAAATCGAGGGCCAAAAACTATTTACTACTAAATATTTGTTATAATTATTAATACAAAGATCGAACACTAGGTAGGTAGGTAGCTGTAAAGGTAGTAACTGGGTGATAAATCTGTCATAGATTTCTCATAGATGGCGCTACGACTAAAAAGTCGTTGAAAGACCAAGTACAAAGACACGACGCAAGCACATAGAAAAATTCGTGAGGTCCGTTGGTTCGTTCCGTGGCTAAGTTGGTATAGCGTCTGGCACGGTATGCAAGAAGACGTCGGTTCGAATCCGACCGGATCGAAGGAATTTTGAGTGTTTTTTCTGAGTGTTCGATCTTTGTATTAATAATTATAATTACTAAATATTTGTTGAAAATAGAATTTCGTTCAAATTTAATGATATTATTACAAAATGTTTATTACTGTCTGATCTAGACGATTCGATTATTTTGCCTTTCTATTGAGCCGGTTCGCTTGAAGATCGCATTGAAATAAATCGTTACGTCGTATGCACTTGAACCGACTTTTGTAAAAATCTATGCATCCTTAGTTGTGAGAATCTATAGGATTGCAAGGTAAGTATTGTGTGGAGTTGCCACCTTTTCATCTAAAAAAGTTTTTTACATCGAAATTGGTAACCTATCACAAAGTCGAAAAAGTTTTGTCCGAAATAACGTGTTGTTCGAATTTTCATTACACCGAAAACCGAATTATAACGAAACGGTTGTTCTTATGTTGAATGTTTATCGCAAAGACACGATTAGGTTCGGTTATGTTAAGTTAGGTTTAAAAGAAAAACATTTTCCTCTCAAAAATACTTTCGAGGTAATGAAATTTCGACCTAACGCTATTTCTGGCCAATGTCATTTCGCGCTACTGATAGGTAACCATCGAAATTAGTAATTAGTATATTGCGTATTCGCCGTTTCTGCTCAAAATTTTGGACAGAAATGGATTGAAATCGCACAAAAACCAGTGCCCATCTTTGTACTGCATGCGTTACTGACAGATCTGAAGTCACCACTAGAAAACACGACGCTAGTGTTGCACCAGTTGCAACCTTTCCTAGACACATTCGATAAATCCTTGTCTATATTTTAATGCGACACACAATGAATGACGGTGGTTTGTGAGGGTAATGCGAACTACGTTTGGTTTTACTTGAAATTATATTTTTCGTAAAATTGGGACTTCAATAGTACGGTATCCGGCGCCCGACAGTGTAGCTTTTAATACACTACATCTAATAACAAGTTAATACTATTGAATTTTTCCCTTTTGTTACCAATCCGTCATCAGGAATGCCAGTTTGGTAACTTTTACAATTTTACAAAAAATATGAATATCTACGAAAATTGTAAAGTTTTGATATTCTGATAGAAAATTTAAATTTTCCTATAAAAGAATTGATTTACCTTTCTTGCTGTTATCAAATTGTATGTGAATGATGGGCTCTGTTGGAATTTGGAATAAAACTTTTTAAATATAAAACACAAGTTAATTTGCACATTTACAATTTTACAGTTATTTACACTATTATTTACAATGAATGTAATTGTTTTAGTAAAAGTTACGTCTTTGTTAATATTTCAGGTGCACCTTCACCAATATGATTATGTATAGTTAAAACTGTTGTTAAATCGCTTTTTTTAGTTTTGTTTTTAATTCCAGTTGGAGTGCCAAATAAGTGTCATTGGACGAACACAATTTCAGGTTTGTTTACACAAGGTATGTAATTAGATAATTTGGAATGTTCGTGTTTACAGAAATGGAACAAACGGGGTTACCGTTTACTTTAGCACTCTTTAGGCGTTAAGAATATTTCTGTGCCTAGAGCGAAACAGTCGCACACTAGCCGCGCTCGGTCGGTGTAGGTGTTCGAGAGCCGGGCGGCGCGCAAAAAGGGCGTCGGAACATGAATGTTTGAAAGGAGTGTTTCTGTCGAGGTGTTCGTATCGTGTGTGCGAGCGGCGAGTGTGGTGCTGACCTTGAAGCAGAAGAGTGCGGGCATGCAGAGCGAGGAGGTCTGAGTCCGCCCCACACTCACCTCGGCCCACCCGCCGGCGCCGGAGCCGCTCCACTCTGCGACAACCCACACTTGAGGCCACACTATCGTTACTCATATCTCCGTCCCTTTCCTCCATTAACGAAACGACAGCGGGTTGAGTGGACCGCGTTGCGAGCGAGCAGCATGCAAACGAACTTTCACATATCTGAACGAGGTCTAAAATCTCATATTTCAACTGATTGGTCAAATCTAGTTCTGTAAAGTTCCATGGGCTCGAAATTTTCGTCAAAAACTAGCCCGAATTTACAATGAGACATTTTCTACAAAGGAAAAACCATGAGTCTAGGGAAGAGTAATTAACTTGTTACATTCTTTTTTTTATGATACCAACACGGAACGAACAAGTCGTGCGCCTGATGGCAAGTGACACACCTGTCATGACAGTTGCAGTGTCACTTAGAGCTTTAAAACACAAAGGCAGGGGCACTGCCATTGTGCCCGTCGTCCTGAGACCTTTATCCTCCAAAACCAGAACACTGTAAATGACATTACGGCTTGGCGGCAGAAATACTATATTATATGAATGAGAATCAAACCACGGAATTGTTTTCAAACTAGTGCTTTCTCGTTTACACAAACGTGCTAGTGTCTCGGTCTATGGGGACTACGACAATTTTATTAAGTGCCTCGCAGACCAAGAAGACCATTGTGTTAATAAGAAACTTAGCTTTTTAAGAAGTATTGCGACGGTGTTGCTGCTCGCGCGCAAATCGGTCAAGAATTTACCTCATATAGTCCTTCATAACATTAATGCACTTTGAGGAAAATTTCAATGGAAACGGATTCACAACATTAATTGATTATCATCATGTTGACGGTAGATATTTAAAATGTAGTAAGAGACATTGTTCTGTACGACAAAATGTCTCCTTATCTCAAAATGTCTCTTACGACATTTTAAAATTCGTTACATCAACAAAATTGTTATATCGACAGTGGAAATTTCAAATTTGAAACATCTTGTCGTAAGGCAAAATGTTCCATACGTCATTAAATTATCATACCAATTATCAATTATGACAACATAAAACATGAAATTGAAGAAGGGCGAGCCGAACCTTGGTCGTCGTGGTCCACGTCGTCGAGGTCGGAGGCGTCGGAGTCGGCGCCCTCCAGCGGCGTCTCGTAGGCGTACAGCTCCGCGGCCGACGTCGCCGAGATCTTGGCGCCGTCCTCGAACACGCGCAGGAACGTGGCGCCCGACAGCTCCACCAGCAGCATGCTGCGGACGGGTCTGTTATGCACGGTCTCTCGGGTCGTCGATCGGACTCTTTCGTAAACAATTTTTGTCAAAAATTTTTTCATTCGGTCCGATTTGACTTGAACCAGCGTTTGCTGCCATACCTAGGCTACTGCTCTGTAGAGCTACTAACTATGCCGTATGAAATGAGTCGAAAGACAAAACATTAGCGTAGATTATGTGGATTTTTACGCGTTGTTCTGTGGCAAGAAATATACTTACGTTTCAGGTGAGAGGCCACATAATTCTGAAAGTCTTTTCTTCAAGTCCGCGTACGTGCCCTCCGAATTGACTCGCACGCCGTACTTCACCGGCACCGAACCGTCCAGGAGCATCACTGGAAAAGAAACAGCCGAGCTTTGTATATAGGAGCGTCATTTGGTGAAACGGACTTTAGTCGTATTTTGTTTGTGTCGTGTGTATACTCAGTTTAGTTTAAACTAAAGGTGTGGCTGTGTAAGTGAATGTACGCCACGAGACAAACAATTAATAAGTCTCTGTGTGTACTGTTTAACGTTACGACGTGCATAGGCAAGGTGGAATAACACAGAAGCAACTTTAATGTTGTATGCATCGTGCATGTTCTACGAGTGTAAATTAGCCACGTGCAAACATTAGCCTGATTCACGTTTGTACTGTGGTCTGTCGCTGGCATGTATCGGGTCGGCACGGGCTACCGAAGCCTGCGACTCGTGGGGTCAGCGGTCGGATCCAAGCGCAGGTGCGTCGGGGCGTCTCTCACGGCGTCCCGCCCCAGTGCACAAAGCGGGAGGTCCGCGTCGGTGGCACTCACCGCGGACCTCGCAGCGCACGTAGGACTCGACGGGCAGCGGCAGGCTCAGCATGTTGAAGGCGTCGAAGCGCACGGACTCCTTGCCGCAGGCCTCGCAGCGCACCTTGGACTTGAGCTGGCCGTAGAACAGGTCGGTGACCACGGAGTCGTTGCGCGCCGCGTGCTGCGCCCAGGCCTCGGCCGCCACGTCGCGGTCGGGCCGGCCGGCCGAGTCGGGGGCGGCGGCGGCGGCGGGCGGCGGCCGCGCGCGGTTCAGGTCCTCGTGCAGCGAGTCCAGCAGCCAGGCCAGCAGCTCCTGCGCGTCGTGCTGCTGGCCGGCGCCCAGGTGGCGCGCGTGGCGCGACACGCACCAGCGCACGCGCAGCGGCGCCACGGAGCGCGCGCGGCACGACCACACCTCCTTGCACAGCTCGCCGTAGCGCAGCGCCAGCGCGCCCGCCGTGCCCAGCGGGTTGCCGCGGTTCACCTCGTACAGGTGCATGCCGGCGTTGAAGTAGCGCGTCAGCGGGCCCGTGTTCCACACCTGCGGGCGACAGGTCAGGGCCGCGTCGCGCAGTGGACGAGAACGACGTTGGACGAAACTTCGCGACAAGTGACAACGTCGAATGTGAAAGACTCGAGGAAAAGCATTTTGTCAACACGGAAACGGTTCCGCGACCCGCCATTGGTACACGTGACAGAAATAACGTTCTGTATTTATTTGTAAATACCAACCTCCTCATGTACGTCATTATTGTAACTTCTAATGTGCAATAAAAAATACTTCACAAAAAAGGTAAAAACGTGGCACCGACCGACTGCAGCGCGGCGTTCATGAAGCAGGTGTTGCCGAGGTTGTGCAGCCCCGTGGCGCCGGGCACGTTGGGCGCCACCAGCGTCTCGCGCCGCGACAGCGCCCGGCCGCCGCTGGTCAGGCTGCGGACACGCCAATTCGGATACACGCTCTTTCGCTGTGACCTTGGTCCCCCTCAAATTGTGCTTTTCGAGTTACACATAAAAACACTCAATTACCGGTATTCCGGTTTCAAAGGTGGTGATGAAATCATTAGCACATGGGACTTGTCAACTTATGCCTAATGGTAACGGACACAACAGTTATATTCCTCAGACCTTTGCGGTTTTATCTCTGAGTGGCACTGCAATTGTTATGGCAAGACAGGAGCTTAGCATCAGGTGCATGACTTCTTCGTTCTGTCACTTGATATTACAAAAGAAAATCCTCAATTGCCAACAGCAGTCATTGTTATACTGTTTCTTCACCACACACAAAATATTATTTGCACCGATGAACAATATCTCTTCACACGGCTTATCCTTTCTATTAAAATAAGGTAATAAAATCATCAACATTTTTTCATCAGATCGTTTTTTTAAACTATAGGTATTTCGTAAAACACCGACTGACAAGTCTTTTTTTACCAATTTAGTCCCACATGAAGATTATCGAGTTTAGAATTAAGAATTGGTACTGCCTCAGCTCCAAAATTTGTCCCGCACTTCATTCCGATTCAATTTGCTGGTGTCGCGCGGCAAGGACACTGGCTTTATTTTAGAATTATTTTTTTTCAGTTTCAGTCGATATAAATAAAGTCATTGGTATAAATAACTACTTCACAAAGTACCTATTGAATTCGAGTAACTTTGTTTCTTTTGTATCATGAAAATTTTTAGATATTGTGTTTTCACACCAGATACTAATTGCTATATATTTTTTACAAAAGTGATCGATTCAACACTTTGACTGTTAAGCGGAATCATCAAATATATATAAATAGAAATAGAGACGAAATATTATTTAATTTGTTTGAAAACTGTTTTGCCAAATCATTACTGTGACAACTGCGCTGTGATTGGCCAGCCCGAATTAGAAACAATTTACGGGTGTCGTCAATTGTTTCACTTCAAATCGGCCAGCTTAACTTGAGCATTGCTATAACGGTCGAAAATAGAAAAATTACATAATTTAATATATTAGACGTTTTGCCGATTCTCCCACACCGCCGAATGGAACAGCCCCCGTAGTTGGAGACATTATCTTTGTCACAATAAATAGAGAACACGTTTGGAATGTACGGAGACGGACACGCAGGCCGGCGGTTGGCGCTGTACTACTTCAGCTGTCTAGTCTGCGATCTGAGCGCAGAGCCGACATACAAGGCCCGTCGGCAGGCTGCGGGGCGAGGGAGGGAGAGGCGCACCTGAGCGCGCCGATCTCCTCCGGCCAGGTGAGGTCGGCGTTGCGCAGCTCCAGCAGCAGGCGCGAGCGCTCGTCCAGGCGCAGCTCGTGCAGCGTGGGCCGCTCGTCGTCCAGCAGCTCGCCGCCCGCGCCCGCGCCCCCCGCGCCCGCGCCGCCCACGGCCCACAGGCGCACGTCCTCGCGCGCCAGCGCCAGCGCCTGGCACAGGAAGTCCGCCACCTGCCGGGTTCGTCGCGCCGTTAGGTGCCTCGCCCTCGTACGAATGTAACAAGCTACTTTACTTTGCGTACCGGGGTCGGAAAAATCATGATTTTTCGGATTTTACCATTTTATCATACAGTTTAACTATATTGTTACGCAAAACGTAGTCATGTAAAGGGTTTATTAATCACGTAGTAGATAAAAATTACCAATGTGATGCCACTAGACTGGTCACTGAAAAACATATTTAGTGAAGAGGAACAGTCGAAGATTTTTCCGATGTTAAACAATTGTTCGGAGCGATCGTTTCTGCAGCTGCTGTGGAAAGAGTGTTTTATACTTTTGAGAATGCCATTGATTTCTCAGATCGTAGCCTTTAAAATGTAATTGTCTGATTTTATGTTGATTTCTGTGAAAGAAAATAAAATTTAACACATTTGATTAAACCCAATGATTTTTATGTTTAAATCCAATGATTTTTTCAATGATGATTTAAACCACGATTTAAATTATGATTTAATCGTGCCAACCTCGTTACATACCAATAATAACGTAGCCTGTCATAGCCGTAATCGCCGAAACTATTTGTTGGCGATCAGCAGTGACGCGACCTCCTTTATAATTATAATTTTTTTAACATTCCTTTTATAAAATATCTTAAATCGTATTAATTTTCGCCAGTCTTTGTTTCCAACATTTTGGCATCTGCATACTTCTTCTACGCTGTCCGGTTCACTTCATTTTCTATATTGTATTTTTACCGACTTCAAATTAAACTCGTTTCACTTCCCAACATGTTTCCATTATGGCGCACATCTTAATATACAGTCCAATACTATTTTTTTACGTTATGCATGTACAAACTAATATTTAATTTTCTATTGTATAATAGTCAAAACTACTTTTTTTTTCTAATCATATTTACAACCAGAACTAAAACAATAATGTGACAACCCTACGCTCCGTGCGAAGGAGTTCCACCGCGTACCTTATTATGCTACGCTACAGACTTTACATACACGCTAATTTACGCTTGCTACTTTTGTATTAGCCCTTTAGACCTCCAAGTTAATCTTTGGATTTACTCTATAAATATGTACCGTTATTTTAGTAATGTCAATTCTTTCTATGACCAAGTTACCGAGTCACAACAACAACGCTTTTTATTGCAGCCGCGTTACGACGACGCTTGTGAGAAGAGCCTAAAGATGATTTTAAAATGACCAAATTGTTATAAAGTGTGGACACAATGGTCACCTGTTTAACGGTGGCAAGTCTCGAGAAAGCAGCGGTATATGCCAGCTGTCTCTCGGGAGGTTGCGGCGCCAACGGCACACTGCTGTACATGGACACGCCTGCGCCGCCCACAGAAGCCACGGCGCTCATCCCTTGGAACAAACGTACAATGAGTTTTACCATTTTCAAACTCACATAATGCAAAATATCAAAAAAGAATTATAAGTTACTCTGTGGACTGGCGACGTGTCGTAGTATTTTCAAATGTAGCGGATAAAGCTCCAGTTCTACGTCAGAGTTCGGTGGCCTTACGACCTGGAACAAAAAAAACGTAATAATAAAGTCAAGCGCAATTCAGGCCGCCAGATCGATTTGCTTTAGCTACTTTCGACAGTTTTATGACGTGTGGTATTTCGCATTAGTGTTATGCCGCCGACATTAAGAGCACACAACGTATTTTAACATTTTAACGCGCCGACAACGCCGCAAACGCGCGCCGTGGAGTCTCGTGAAAGGATTCAAACGCGTGCAAACATTGCGTTGCAACCAAAAAGCTCATAATACTCCACTGGAGTTTACATTTACAATTACAAGTAGTTGCTTCATTTCAAAAACCATCTAAAATTAACAAACGAAACTAAAATTAAAACTATCTCTTATCAAAATGCGCGACTGTGCGTCTGCGGCGCAGATGACGGGCGTTTACGGCGTGACTGATTTGTGAATGTGTGCAAAATTTACTCGCTGCGATTGCGTCGTTTGAATCGCGTTTACGCGCGTCATCGGCGCGACGATAAAATATTAGACCTGTAAATATGTGCTATTAGAGTCTCGAGATAGAAGTCTAAAGACATGCAGCAGTCCAAATTGTTAATTCTAATATCGTAGTACATCTATGAAAATGTAATTTATCTTTAAATGCGTAGTGTAAAACTCCAATAACGTTGAAAACACATAATCATTGAATATTGAAATTATTACGCAATTTAAATAAATAAATAAATAACGCACACACTCAACATAGCCCCGCACTAGGGAAACCTTGTGTCGCGGGTGCCATGGACACACACATAGACAACCACAAATTACACCCAAACTCACGAGAGAAATAAATGTAAGCCATACAAACATTTCTCCCGACCCGGGAATCGAACCTGGCACCTCTGCGTGGCAGTCCGGCATGGTAACCGTTCGGCCACGGAGGCAATTTTATTGTTACACATCAGTTTATAATAAAAAAAAACCGCCATCTTGCGGTACGAAGAGCGGGAGGCGACGAGGCGATGGCGTCCGGCCAGTGCCGACAGCCTTCGCATGCGTTGTTATTACGTAAATTGGTTATTACGGTGTTGTAGTAGTAAGTTTTTCATGAAAAATAGTGACAGACTATAGAATATCTTCACAAATGTAAACTCATACGCGTCTATAACAAAAATCCTACTAATATGCAACATTTACTGTTTGGAGTGTAAAACTATAATGAAACAAAAATTTTATACCAAAAGTTAGGGTACTTGATGATAAAAATCCTCGGTAGTGACCCACTTAACTCTTTCACGTTTTTTTCTATCTACGATATTTGTAATACATATCGTAATTGATAATATAACACTTACAACGTAAATTAAATCCTAAGCAACTAACAATAAGACGAACCTGTCTGGGCAGGGGGTCTGGTCCTCCGTACCACAGGGCCAGCGCCCTCCAGAGCGCGTCGGGGACCAGCTCGAAGTCCCTATGCTGTGCCAGGGTGATGTCCCGGCGCAGGTGGCCGCCTTCGCCCGTCAGCGTCGGCACCTGGGCGACACAGCAAACAAGCTTCTCAAACTACGCACACGAATAATTCCCTCCCACTGCTCATATTCAGCTAGAAAGAAAAAGGGCCTGCCCCAAGGTCATCCATTTATTTCGGTCTTTAATATCTTCAGTTCCAGCGTTCCCAGAAGCCAAGTCATCCTTTTTAGTATATGTGACGACGTTGACATGCTTCAAACAAATACCTAATGTGTGATCCTAGCTTAGCTGTATTTCGTTCCGATGCTCCTCATCCACCGCAATGGTTACCTGCAGCAGGTTCTGCGCCAGCAGTCTCTTGTTATCCACGGGCCCTGGATGCAGCAGCCGTCCGCCGGCGACCGCGCTTGACACGCCACTGCTGGACCCCGCGGATCCCACGGAACCCGTTTCTGCTCGCCATAGCAGGGACCCCATTGATTCTGTAGTACACAGTCATCGTAGCGTTTAAAGTGACCACAAAATTTTGAAAGTATACTTTACAATCTGATCGGTCAACACAATAAAGTTAATTTTATCTTAAACAAGACGGTTGATTATTAAAAAATATTTGCCAGTATTGATATGCAGGATAAAAATCGATGTACCAGGACAGCATAGCTATAAAGAGCTTACCGGTGGAATTGCTAGTGAAGCTCTCATCACAGACAATAGCTTCATCGATGAGGCGGTTATTTGGCCTGCAGCAAGACGCGGCGCCGCTGCTGCAATAGGCGTTCCACGAGGCCCACCACTCCGCGCCTACGAGGTACCAGAACTGTCCTACTGCGTAGCCGCGTTGCACCTCGCGTCGGAGCCAACCCAGCACTGGGGAGAAAAGAAAAATGTAAAAATATTATAATACTACGGTATACATAATGAATGACAGACATATTTTTAAACACAAATTTATACTAAAAATTGTCTTCCTGTTATGTACCATATAACGTCTCATATAATGATCCTTTTTTTTAGTACCTTATACTAAAAGAAAGAAGTTACAATTTTGAAGCCTTTGTATCTGTCTGTCTGTGAGATAAGGCACGAAAGTTTTCTTAAAAGTATCATTGAAGGAGTGGGTCGAACGAAAAAGAAGCAAAGGAACACCGAGACGAAGTTATTTAGACCAGATAGTCTAAAGAAAAAGAGAACAGTTCTAAATTTATGTACAGTCTGTTATCTTTATATGGACAGTCAAGACATTCTTCACAATTTGGAATTTGGATCGCTCTTTTTGCAAGCCGGATAGAGTTGAATTTAAGTAAAAATAAATTAAATTTCCTTAGAGAGCGTAGAGCGAAAGATTATTAGTCGTATATCAGATACCGATAAACTTAATGAAATAATAATAATATTAGGAGACTTAACATACCTATGCTTAGTCACTGACATAATACAATTAAATCAATTTTCATATCAAACGTCAGAAATAAATCTCTAAAGGTTGCACATAAACTCACGTACGTTACGGAATAATTATTAATTAGCGTTAAGAGCAAACTTTGGGCTGATGCACTTAACAACTGACAGTAGTTAGCGTCTCAATATTTTTACGCGTGATGTGATAACAAAATGCCAACATTCTGAAATTTGATTTTTGAGCACTACCTTGTATGGACGGGTCCCAGTGTGCGGCATGCACGGACCCCTTTCTGTAGAAAACTGGCTCAAATCAACGCACTCTTGTCTGATAAACTTTAATGTGATATGTGTGGAGATGGATGGAAGACCATGTTAAAGAACTGTATAATGTTTTGCGAGAAGAATTAATGCGAGTCCACTTGTTCATAATTATTGTCTTCTATACATTGACTTACAATTATATGGACGTCGGGTCCGCGCTAAAAAGTGTCCGCACTTGTAAGGCGCTAAAATCGTATACAGAGCGCGACAGTCTTCATTTGTTCTACTGACAGCGCGATACTGCGATGACATTAAAATTTAAATTTCGAATAGGTTGACTTGGGACATTTTTTTCGTGGTTTTTGTATTAGACCCGTCGTCCATTTATTTGTAAGTCAATGCTTCTATATGTCAATTGTTTATTATTATTACTGTTAACCCTGTGTCATATTATCTTTTTTATGCGTAAAGTGCCTATGTAAAACCATCTCACTATGTATGTATATACTGAACGAAAAAACTGCATTGAGATAAAAAACAAGTGTAATGTAAATATTATGACACACAGTTCATTCATGATGTAGTAATTTATAATTGCAACGTCTCTCAATGAAATGGTAATATTTACAAGATAATGTCGTATCGGGCGAAGCTCGTAGGGGCGGGAGACCTGGGATAACATCGTGGTGGTTTTATTTACATACAAATCGAGGTTTAAACAAGAATAAAGCAAATTAGTATGAACAGACTTTACGTTTAATACCGGCTTGTAAAAGAAAACAAGAACGTAACGAATTATTTACTTCATATTATCAGTGTCACATTATTACAATTTAAAATACAATGTCTAGCGATAATATGATTGTCACTAACATAAACAATAATAAACAAAGTAGAAAGAATTTCCTCTACACCGATGATTCTCAAAGTGATCTATATCGCCGCGCAGTTTACCACTCAGAACTACAAAGGCTATGTCAGCGAAAAAAATAGGACATGCACGGACGCCAATGAGCGTCCACGGGAGTGGATCCCATTTAGGCAGGTCGTTATACACATAGTATCTATGTACATAATACTTTTTTATGATAAACGTATAAATTACCTTTGTTTACACATTTCACAACAAATAAGATATTCAGTTTGATAAATGTATAAAAATAGCATGTGGTTGTTTGTATAGTTTCTCACAATACAGTTAAACTTATCGAAGTGAATAGCACTATGTCAGCTGTCAAAAACACATTAGAAATTTGTAAAATAATCTATATTAGAAAAGTAGGGGGTTTATGCAAAACAGAAAAAATTGGCGCTTGGTCTACGAGGCAAAAAGGTTTGGGAACCTCTGCTCTACACTGTAAAATTCATTATCCGATAAAAAGAGTTTTAGTCGGGTGCAAAATATATCGTAATTTGTAACATTCTTCCGATTTGCGGGTCAGTAGTATCAGGGAGTCATAGTTTCTAGTTGCGAATTCGGTACAGTGGATGACGGAATTTAGATTTCCCGCTCGGCCTTCGCCAGTACATCACTCGTCATTCAGTTCCGTCTGACGTCATTGAGAATGCCAATGGTTGTCGTGTTTGCTGCACTCACAACAAGTTCTATGCCGCTATGCCCTGACCTCATACTATATTATTAAATTTATATTTGTGACCTCATTAGCTGATATGTTAGACGTTTTTTTGGTTTTGTTTTAATTAATTAAGTGTATTGTTAATGCTCTTTCGTGTCTATGTCTTTAGTAGATGGTCACTGAATTTTGTGTTCAATCGGCAGGTGTATCAGAAATGTGTTCATGATTAGCCCTAAGTTACTAGTATATTGTAATACATATTCCATTGTTATATGGAAAGCTATAAAGTTACAGTTTTCTCCATATAACAAATGAAATTAGGGTTATGTTTTTTTTTTCCAAAAAAAATTACTTTGAATCGCTCTCCTGTAATATTTTCCAAACGCATGTTAAACGTTTTACATTTCCAGAGTCGATATTATGTTGTTGGTGTTCTTGTTCACAATAAATAATTACATGTGTCTTTTGTTGATAAAAGTGAATAGGTATTTCAAAGTCATATAGTAATTTTCCACCACAGGGAATTGTGGTTAGACTATCAGAACATGTTTAGAAAAAATCGTAAACATGCAAAATGCTCAACCATTTATTTTTTCTATCCGACCGTGTTCGATCATAGCGACCGTTTCGACTCGTAGTTGGGTTGCCGCTGATGCTCTCGAAGATGACTAATGTCGCCAATCGTTGCGACGAGTCCTCGTACACGTTGAGGGCACGTGAATACACCGCCATGGTAATTATGGTTAATGGCGGAGGGTGGACGGACCTTTATCTAGTCACGTTTAGCATCGAGTTCAGTTTTACGCTGCTCTTCAAACTCGTGGACTTGTCTCTTCACAATACCCCGCCATTCATGGCGCAGTCCTGCTAAATCTTCCCATTAAGACGGCTCAATGTTGCATCTTCTCATTGGTCGCTTCTGAACAACTTTACATCTGAGAAGAATGCCATAGATATTGCCTCATAATGGAGCAGACGCAGTGGAAAAAAGGAAAACTAAATTTTAATAATAAAAAGAATGTAAGTCAATCATGACTGTAAAGATACCGACATAACCAAAACAAGATAGATTTATTTATGTTATTTTATTGGAATGCATATGTAGAATGTGTTAATTATGAAAACATCTTCTATTCAAATCATGCCTTTACAATCTGCGTATCAATTTTAATACTATACCATACTACACACGCCGGCACATTTAGCGGCACAAAAACAAAGTGTGGATATAAATAGTAACGTTTATATTTAAATAAATAAGAATTAGACATAAATTTATCAATTAAATTAACCCGCTCAGTACAGTTTCCTCAACTATCATTGAAAATAAAAACGAATATGCATTTTTTTTTAAATATTTTGTGACAAAATACTATAACAGTTGATCATTGATTATATGAAACGTTAATAAACAAATAAACTTTTACAAGTAGTGTTAACGAAATTGATAGGACGCAAAATTAAACTAGAACCACTCGACAAACCTGTATTAGTAGAAAAATACCTACCTAAAGCTCAAAATTAAAAAGTAAAATAACAGGACAGTCTTTAGAAAACATTAGGGATAAGAAATGAAA